TTCAGAGTGCATATTTTTTGGGGGGAGGGGGATAAGACTTATTTTATAAGATTATTCTTTGCCCTCTATTTGATTGAAGTTACATTTAAAATCTTGTAGTGCATGGAAATTGCTAGTTTCGTAATTTCCTTTGTCTGAGCAGGCTACTCGGTTTTGCCATTCAGACGCTCCTGATGCTTCCTATCGCCTAAAATATTATATTTTTCAAATTAAAAAAAAATCTGTCCTCTAATAATATAATTGAAATGACGGTAATAATATTATTGAAGTGAAAAACCTGGCCCCACATGCAAATTTTGAAAGAAAAATTTGGGGAAGTTTTTCTAACGTCATTTCTAATGTCATTTGAGGATTTTGAAAACTCTGAATTTTGAGCTAATTTTCAAAGAAAAGTTTAAAAGTTTTTGAGAACCTTAGTAAATAATTTCTGAAGCACTTGTACTCACAAATCCAATAGTGTATAATGACACCTGTTTTGGAATCAATAACAACGTGAGAGTTAATTAGATCGCTGGTGAGGTAGATACTTTTTTATAATGATAAATAAATGAAGATGTCAGGTATCAATACTTTTTATTCAGCTTATGATCGTTTCGATCGTTCTGCCGAAGGCAGAACTTTGTTTTCGGCCCAGAAGCTGCAAGCTCTGAGGATGATCGCTATGCGATCGAAACGATCATAAGCTGAATAAAAAGTATTGATACCTGACATCTTTATTTATTTATCAACGTGATAGTTATTTAAAAAATACATTTTTTACACATTTTGAAATCTCATAAAAATACATTAAAAAGTGCTTATGACATGTTATTCAGTGCATTTTGCACTATCCGTACAAAAGAAAAAAATATAGCGTATTTGAAAAATAAATCGTTTTTTTAATATTACCCTTATTTTACTCCAAATTACGTGAAACTAGTAATACGTTTTCTTAAAAAATGTGCATGATTGTGGTATTCTCGCATCAGTAGGGGGAGCGCTAGTGGTCACGTTTCCCTGCTTCCTATGAAAGGGGAGGGGCTGTCAAAGGGGCACAGCGTTTTCCATTATCTGCCCTCCTGGCTATGTAAGCCAGGGCCAGCAGCAGAACGGGCAGTCACCCCAGTCACCGCTCCTACGACGCCGCGCTGGTGCACAAGCTCTGTCGGCCGTGTGCGCCTACCTCGGTGCAACCGTGGTGGTGCCTCACCGCCGCCAGCAGTGTTCCTCTATCCAGTGGCAACTCCAGCCGCCCTAACTATGTCGCCTGCGAAGGTCGCCCTTACCGCCCCTGGTCCGGCCGTCACTCTGTCTTCCGAGAACCGTGTGTGACGTCATGGGTACTCACAGCGACCACAGACACAGAGCTTTCGTATAACAAATATATTTATTAACAAGAAAACAAAACAAATATATACACTTAATAATCTACTTACACCCTAGCTCTGATAGACCTACTATCCCCTGATCGCGGGAGCGATCCAAACCCGATTGAAGATGGTTTTGATTGTGGCATTCGCCACTCCTACTTTTGAAGCGCGCACAAAGCCTAGCTTCCGTGACCGGATGTCACGCTGGGACACAAAGTCCGTTCTGGCGCACCAACGGCTGGTTTGCCTCGATCGCAGGAGCGATCTTATCCGATTGAGAATCGGCGTGAATCGTGGCACTCAATCACTCTTCACCTCGGAGCACGCACACAGCATCGCTCCCCCGTGACCGCAGTCACCCAAGGACATAAAGTCCGCAGGCTTCGTCAACTAATGACTCCAGCCTCGCGAGCCTGGCTCGCATATGCACCGTCTTGGCGCCAAGTTTTGTGCACACGCACGAGGTTCTCCCACCGTCTCCAGAACCTGCCTACTGGCTCCGTACACTCTGTTATATAGGCGAGGCCCACGTGACCTACTACGTCACGCCACCCCCTCGCTTGTTATAACAGTGAAAAGCTTCTATAAGCCGGAAGACACCCAAAGCCTTGTGTCTCCCGTTTCCGCGTTCTTCCCTTTTACGGAAAAACCCTTCTTCCTGTGGCAAGGCTAATCCTGCCAAGCGTCCCCAAATAGATGCCACGAGGCACGCTGGCTAATACGTTACACGTGCTAGCCGCCGGCTGCCTCCGGTCACCAAGGTTACCGTCATCGCTCAGGTGCAGCCTTCACCGCTTTCTACCCCTTCGGAAGGGTCAAAGAACGGTCTCCTATTCCCGCCGAGGCAGTCACAGAATATGCAAGAGCCATTCTACCATGATTTTTTTTATTTAGACCAGAGGGTCTTCTTCTACATAAGGTTGGTTTATTTAGATCACTGGGTGTCTTTGAATTTATATTACTTTATCTCCTACGCGGTAGAGAAATAATTACGTAATGCCACGCGAAAAAACGGCGAATTTTGGGCAGAAAAACTCATATTACAGGACCTTGGTAACGAAAAAATGGGTAACTCAAGTTGCTACATTCAGAACAAAAAATCCCCTAACTCGTGGTGAAGCCAGAATTCATGTTTTGTGGGACCTTGAAAACGAAAAATCGATTGGCAAAACGCCTGTCTGTCCGTCTGTCAAGAACGGTAGAGGCTTAACCGTTCAGCAGTTTTTCTCCAAAACTGATATTGCTCAGTCGACCAGGCTGATGTCGCGACCCTTGAATTTCAAATCGATATTTCAATTTTTGGGGGGTGCTTTATATGAAGCTCCTGGGACATTTTGAAAATTTATGATTAAATTATGATTAAATTTATGAGTTTTTGATTAAATTTTGTTGTTGGATAGCATGAAAAATGTTTAAAAGAATGATACAATTTTTAGTTTTTTTAAAACATTTTTCTCATAAACGTCTCCATCGTTTTTAAATACTATTCCATTCATTTTTAGATTTTAAATTATTTCAAAATTTGATTAAATTTCGTTTTTGGATAATGTGAAGAACCTTTAAAAAAATGGTACAAGTCTCATGTTCTTTGAAAACCCGGATTTTCGAAATTGGGAAACATTCAAAATTTGTTCGGCGCCTTCCTACAATTTTAATTTTGAAGATAATTTAAAAAAATGTATTTATCAAAATTTCAATTTTTCAAAAATATAAGTGTTTTATTTCGACATTTTTTGTTACATTTGAGCCTTTGATAGCGTAAAGGACGCTTAAGAGAATGGTATAGGTCGTATGTTCGTTTGAATGCTTTATTTTTCGATAATTTTAAAAAAAAGTGGTCTTCCTACATATACAATTGTGAAGACAGAATTTTTCCCTAATGAAATGTTTTTATAAGAAACAGATCTTTTAGTTCTCTTGAATATTTAAAACACACGAGCAGTTTTTTGTGTAATTTGGAGTCATATATAGGCTTCGACTTCGAATTTTCTGGGCTTTGAGTAGTGCATAATTTGAAAAGTGTTTGGACGTTATTGCTATTCTTCTAAAAGAAGGTAATGCATTTTACTTAGAGCTAACAAATATCTTCTTTACTTCATGAAATTTTGATCGCTGATTATGGTATGTTTTATTTGTAAATCTTCGAAATTACTTCTGTTCCTGACTATCGAAATAAATGCAGGTATGCACCACAGGTGCTTCGTTTGAATTGGTTGGGTTTGGGTTGTATTACAATTATTTCTAATACTTTACATGAGAGAAAAATTAAAAGAATATCACAAATTTGTACCAACATTTTAACCTTCACTTCATAATACTATCCGGTACCTTGGGAAATAATGCAACTTTATGTTATTCTCGGATGGGAAAACGGACGTTTCAAAAAATTACAGTATATATATATTGTAAGAGAGAGAGAAATAAATATAAATAAATATCTACAAGTGCTAAGGAATGGCAGACTTTCTCGTCTTTGTAAATAAATTTATATCTTTACCGAGGGCAGCAATCGCGCAAATTCCACCCATGAAGTTAATAGATACGAACCTGAAGAATTCCATCATAAATACAGAGACTTATGGGCGTAGTTGAGAGGTAGTTGATGTCGATTCATGGCAGATCCGCAATCAAATGGCCAAAGAGAAGCAAGTCGCACGCTAACCGGTAAACGCTAACCGGCTATGCGGCTAGGTGCCGATCGCTGGTGTAGAGGATTAGACTACTATATTTCCCTACATCACAATCCCCCACCCCAAAAAAATGATAAAGAAAAGCAACTTGGGTCACATTGACCATGTTTGATTAGTTCAGGGTTAAAAATGTGTCAGGGGTAGATGTACAAAAAAAAATCTTTATAAATCATATATGCGCAAACTTCTAAGTTCTCACATCCTTCACAAAATTAAAGTATTTAAAAAAATCATTGTATCACTTCATTATGTAATTTAATCACTAATGGGGAAAGGGAAACACGTTCTTTTACCTCCTTTTGCACAAGACCAAGAAAAACTTAGTATTAAAACTTACAATGTTGTTTCTCGGATCTTGTGATATAATACAGCGAAGTTTTAACTGTTAATATTACTAATGTTTCATGGATTTCTTTACATAGAGCCTAATGAACTTACTTTAAGATCAGTGATTCAGTTTAGAAGCAACGCTACATATTTAAATTATATCTGATACAGTATTATGTAAGCCGGAAGCATTACCAGGAGCTTTACGTAAATCACGATCCAATCAGAAGAAACCACCATCGGACTCCGTCAAATTTTGATGACACCTGTTAAATTCGAATAACATATAATTATAATAACGATTAAATCGTTATTAATTATTATGTTTATATAAAATGTGCCCTTGGTGTGTTAGTGTATTAGATTTAATAAATCTTAGTGATGGTTTACTGAAACAGTTATAACATTAAAAAAATATTATAACAATTAAACATGCTGAAAAATGTTTAAAAAATATTAAAAATATATCCTGTAAAAGTAGTAAAGAAAATTAACAGCCATCTTTTAAAAGATGTTATTCCTTTCAAAAGATGAAATTACCAGGTTATTTTTGCCCTAATTCCATTTCTTTGGTACAATAAATTTACTATAATTTAAATTTATTCCCCTAACTGCCAAACACTGTGAAACTCACCAGAAGAATCAGTACTACTCTATCTCCATCATGTAATTCATCACAACGACGATAGATATCAATAATGAAAATACGTATACGAGAAGCACTAATTTATAATACTTTTATTCATGTTAAAAAATAGAATTAAAGAGAAGTTGACGATATTAAATAATTAGGCACATAATTGTGTGGTCGGTGTGTGTAGTTGTAAATTATTTATTGAAAAAATTGTTAAATTTGGTATTTAGAATTTATTTTACTTTTTCTCACTGAGTACAACGCATTGCAGGTCATTACATGACAAGCATAAATCAAAATTTTCCAATTTGTTGAATATTTTTTAAACAATGGCTGTTTAAATGGCCAAATCCTTTTACTAAAATGAAATTTGCTGTATTATGGTTACAGTATGTTAAAATTCTAGGGAAAACCAAAAGAGATGCCAAAAAAGGACTGGTAGAACAATACACAAAGTAGAATAATTGCAGATAATTTTAATTTTTACTAAAAATGCTGTACACATAATTAGATATTGATTAAAAAAAATTTTTCGTGAGTCTTAACATTATTAAAGATTCTGCGTTCAGACTGCTGGTTCGAATCGCGTAATATCCCATATTAGATAGATAGATTTATTATTTCTGCAGGTAGGTATAGAACCTGGTGGCAGAACACTACAATTTACATATTACAACTAAGAATACTAATACACTGTAATTTTAAAGCATTTTAAGGCGATAATAACAATAATATAACAATAATAGCATTACCTATAAACTTTATGACTGCCATGCACGGAATTTTTAAGTAATAAATACACTGCACTTCACTTCACTTCACTACACGTGCATTTCACTTCGCTACACTGCACTTGCACTTGACTTCTCTATTGCACTACCTTATTGCACTTCTCTAATGCACTCTATTGTACTTCTCTATTGTGTGAGTAAATTATTTATTTTCTGGGTTTTGGAGCCCATACACTCTCTTCAGCTCTTACTAGACATTTCACGGACTCATCTAATACTCATGCATACCTGATACAGCTATTCGAATTTTATTAGTAAATTAGGCTGTGTGAGCACCCGTGATGAAAACGAGTACGAGCATCATAACATTTTTACTCGCATCTCTAATTTACCTTCCAAAATAAGAAGTTTAAATTTGTAATTACAAAAATATCATTCACTATTTTTTCACAGTGTAGTTAATGATTTGTATAAACTCAAGAGGCAGTTTTTAATATTTCCTTCTGGTGTACTTACAAATTCGTAATATAACATGCGTAATACAATGAGATAAAGACATGTATCGAACTCATAACTCTATGCAAAGAGTCAGCCTTAAGTTTGAACTAAGCGGGTTGGATTCTTGCAAACAGCATTTGCTTTAAACTTGAATATGTAGTAAAGGTACGAATTTTTTTTATCGATCTTTGGACCGATCCTAATGAGCGCAAAGCACCTTTAATAAAAGGTGCAGATGTTTGTTGAGGGAAAAATAGAATAACCCAGCACAGAAACTGCGCGTTTCACGAAGGGACCGTGTAAGCATTGATGACTACGGAAGTGCCATCCTTTTCATCCTAAGTGTAACCAAAAAGCAGTAACATAAGTAGTTGTTGAAAAGAGAAATTTCACAGGTGGTTCCGTAGCTCAGTGGTTAAGTGTTCTATGTTGTGTTCGGAGTTTCCAGGTTCGATCCTTGTAAGTGTTGTTTCGTTTTATCCATAGTATATTCTACAGTTTGAAGAATAAGTAAAGAACAGTAAGATAAGGGAAATCCGGCGCGTGTCACGATGGGGCCGTGCATGCAT